ATCCCTGGCCCATGATGCACACAGTCCCCCCCGTGGTACTTGCTGRACCGGACTGGTACTTTCTAGACTTTCCCATGACTGCATAGTGACAACCCTACGACGCAGTGCAGTTGCACTGGGGTCCTACTATTTGCCCTTGCCACTTGTCCTCGTCTCCAACATGGGCTTGCTTTAGTCACACCACTTGACCACTTGCCAACCTTCTAGAAGGACTGCAGCTGGACTTCTACTCTACAGGTYTATRGATCAAATCCTGGCTACCTAAAGACCTACGACAGACCTACTTACCACTGGCGGTCCTACAGGTCGCAGGTTCAATTCTTCAAGTTTTCACAGATATTGTTCACAGGTAAGTTGGGGAACTAGGGATCGAACCCTGGGTCCTGCATCAGCTACTTCGAGCTGGTGAATACCGTTTCAAGTGTGCCTTTGTCTCATTTAAGCAGACCTCTTACTCTGGATTAGTTTCAAGTTGCAATCCCTCACAGAGGCAGTCAATGCTTTGGACGTAATCAGGGGAAGTGTTTGAGTGGCTAACAATCTTCTTTTTTTTTTTTTTTTTTTAATACCAAAAACAGAACCTTATGGTTCTGTCTTCTTGTCCATTCTGGGAAGTGTCAGTGCGGTTGCTTTTCCACTGGCAAGTCAAAGATCAGAACATTCACTGACACCACACTCCTTCCCATTATGCCTGGAAGCCCGAGTTGACGGCAGTGATTACTTCCCACAATGTACCACCCCTCACCCCTGCCTAAGTTAGCCTACACGATACAAGGCCTGTCCTCTCTTTCTGGCTGGGAGGAGCAGAAAGAGTGGCTCACAATCTAATTTTCTGACTTGCTGGGGGAACAGCCATCAGGCTGATGAACCCTGAATAGAATATAAGTAAGACCATAAAAGTCAATTTTAGGTACAATACCTGCTATAACCACAAAAAAACATAAATAGTCGTATTCTTGAAGAGTTCCCATATTATGCTTTATCCCTTGTTTGAACATAATGAAATGAATTCATCTCTAAAGAAAAGAATTCAAATAGAATAAAAAAATTGTTTAGTTCTATAATAAAAAGAATAACGATAAATGATTGTACTGAATGTAAAAAGAAGAATCAATAACATCATAAATAATGAAATTCATATACATATACATTTTAGAGTTCATATACATATACATTTGAGAGATTATGTAATAATTAATGTAATAGAGAATGAAAGAAAGCCGAAGTACTTACTGAATGACAACTACGGTGAAGGGAGGATAAGGTTGCTGATATGAGAATTTCAAGCTGGAGCTGGGGTGAAGTGAAGGAAAGGAGAGACCTGGGTCGAGCACAGTGGAAAGTGCATACCAGGACAAGCAAAACAAAGGGAACAACGAGCTTTTGGCAATCTGGACCTGGAAGGATCAGACCTTGAAGCAGGTGGGAGGGGCAATAAGATGTGCCTGATACCCTGGGCAAGATACTTCAGGTGCAATACTCAACACAGGTAAAAGAGGGGCTTTCCTGGACCAGTCAGCTGCATCACCTCTAGGACTAACCAGAGTCAGGAAGGGCTGAGAGCAGGAACGCAGAATAGCAGCTGAGAGGACGAATGCAGAATAGCGTTACTGGGGAATTGCAGGATCGGAAGGTATTGAGAGACAAACAGGGGTAGAGCAGGGGGATGAACAAAGGTAAATCCTTCCTGCGTTGTTGGGGGATTCCACGATCAGAAGGGATTGAGAGGGAAACAAAGGTAGAGAAGAGGAGGAGCAGAGGTAAATCCTTCCTGCATAGGGAGCAATCAATGCACTGTTCCAGTGTCCCTTGGCATACCAGAGGAGAGTGTCGAGTGAGTTCAATTTTGTTAGGGATGCCGGACCCTGTTTCCAGCAGTTATAAGACAATTTGTCAATTTCCTTTCAAGAAAACAAGCACTTGGAGTCTTGGAGTTCAAACTCATTGGTGCAGTACGTGGTATTATGTTGTTTTTGTGTGATGTAACAGACCTTATGGGGGAACATATTCTGCAAGGGGCGTGCTTGGTGCAAGGTTTGTCATTTTGACGGGGAGTATCAACATAGATACAGTCAGGAACTACCTAGCTGAATTCTACAACCCAATCCCTGAAGAAGGTGAGTTAACAGTTACTCAACACTTCCCTGTTGTTAGGCTTGCTACTGGTTTTGCATCGCTGAAGCTGTTGGCTTGCACAGCAATGTTACTTGGGGAGGGGCCAGGGGGCCAAGGGGGGGAGGCTTGCTACCAGTTGGCCCAGCATTACTTTGTTGCAGTAGTTAATCTAAGTGCCACATCAGCAGTGTGGTGTTTTATGTTGAATCATCAGTCGGTTATGCTATTGATGCAGCTTGGGAGGCTTTCAGAGTCTTGAACTCTGGAGTTCTCTCAATGACACAACCAGAAATGGTGCATGGCTTTTGATGCAATCAGACTTGTCTTCAACTCGCTCAGCATGCGTGCAAACAGATGACGATCAAACCTGACGCATGGCGCCCACACAAAGCTCAGAGATAAACCTAGCCAGGAACACAGCTCAGATTCAAACTTGTCTTTATGGCTATGGCGCAGGGCGCCAGACAACGATTCCCATCCGATCAACTGTATCCACCAGCAACTTATTCGCACACACACGCGCACTCTGGATCACCCTGGATGTCCCGCACACACACACACACATGGCTGCCGTCTTCTTCCTCCTACAACTAACTGGCGGCGATGACCGCGTCTTCCTCCTCTTAGCCCTCTTCCTCTCCGGGCACCTCCAGACCTCCGTAGCACAAGACGCTCCAACAGCGCTTCCGCACGGCTCACAGGCAGAATGAATGAATGACTCAATGCTGCCTCTTTATTTATACTTCGGATCGTCGTAGGTCTGCCCTTGGACCCTGGCCCCGGGGTGCACACAGTCCCACATGGTACTTGCTGACTAGACAAAGTGCGACCTGGGACTGGGTACCGCTGACAAGGCTAGGTAGGACTAGGACTGCCCTTTGCTGACTGTGCTATGACCGCCCTTTGCTGACTCAGACCCGGACTGACTCCTAAGACTCCTGAATAGCCAGTTCTAGAACTTCCGGAAGGTCGTGGAATTGACCTTTCGGAACTGTAGCAGCTACGACCTATGCTGACCCTACGACCACTAAAACTAAGAGCGACGGTTCAAGCCCCGACGACCGCACTATATACAACAGCTGAACATTCGACTTTTAGGACACAGGTTGCGGTTTCAAACAGACACGGGTCAACAGGTATTATACAGGGGTAAGGGGGAGGTCTAGGGATCGAGCCCTGGGTACTGCATCTGCTACCGTAATACGTGAAAACCGTTTCATTGATGTTGGGTATTGAGGGAGGATTCAAAACAGTCGACTCATTGACCTCAACTATTGAATGCACTCAAGAGATGATAATACTTGGTATGGGTACAAATTGCCCCCCCAGAGCAGCTGAGAAAAATCCAGAAGTGAGGCCTACCTGCAGCAATTGTGAGGATTCAGGACCGCGGCAAAGCCAACAGGGGCCCTGCCTGCCTAAGTGAAGGCAGGTGCCCGGAAATACAGCAGGGCCTCTGAAGAGGCCAATGTGAGCAGAAGTGGGGTCCCGCGTGGAGATGCGACACACAGTAACCGGTAGGGGCCCAACCATTGGGTAGTTGAAGATGCTGAGGCCCAGGCATCTTCTGGATGGCCATCCTGAAGCTTCCAGAAGGGGCTCAGGGCGCAGGCAACTAGGACTGGATGCAGACAGGCTGGAGGGGGCAGCCTCCTACACATGGGGGCATTGTGCCATTGTGGCAGCGCTGCAGGAAAAGCAGCTGAGCGCTGTGCCCAAGGAGGAAGCTGCCAGTGGCAGCGAGGCAGAAAGGGGTCTGGCAGCCATAGCCGAGCTGCTCAGACTAACTAAGTGGTGGAAGAGTAGCAGTGGTCCTTGAGGAAGAAGGCACTGTGGAAGGAGAGTGGGAGATGAGGGCAGTGTGACCAGACACGTACTTGGTGCTGTCGAAGGAGAGTGGAGATGAGGGCGGTGTGACCAGACACATACTTGGTGTGACGAAGGCAGGATGTTCAATCAGAGTCTTTAATCAGCATTGGGTTGACAACAAGTGGAACCTGTTGTAGTTGTCTGTAGGCTAGATGATATGAGTAGCTGTAGGTGGAACTGGCGGATGGCTGCCTATAGCACTACATTGTTGTTGTATTGATGATGGGTGGCGCTGCATGGGCTTTCATTATCAAAAGACTTCAATGCTTGGCTCATTCGTATTTGGTGTGATCACGCTTTGCTTTCTGCTTTCGGCTCATTGACATCTGGTCTTCTGTGAAACTTTGCAATTTGGTTTATCACTGTTCGCACTGCTCATATCGTTGCAATTTGGTATGGGAGCGGCTCATAGGCTCTCGCCACTTGATTCCAGCATGTTGGGTTTTGCATGACATACCATGCAGTGTGATCACATAAGTAACTGCAGGGTGTTTCAGCCGAGCGCTGGGTAGAGAGTGCTCGTCGGGAAGGCTATTTGAGTGGGGGCAGTGTTGCACACCCTGTTCCCTTCCTCTCTTCTTTGCCTCTTTGCCTTTTGGCTGTGTGCAAGTGGGTCGATATGACACACAGGGGTGGGGGCAGCCGCCGCTCAACCTACATCCGCGTGGGCGGCCTTGTACGCAAGAGGTTCTGAACAGGGGGAGTTGTAAGGAAGAAGATTAAAAACGAATTAAGTTTTTTTTGTTTTCCTTGGTTTCTTTCTGTTT